GTTTGTGGGTGTCCCATGTAAAATTTGCTTCTAAAATTTCAGTTTGGGCACTGCTCCAAACTGAAAGCTTCTCATTGATAAATCGATGCTTTATTTCATTATTGCTACTGTTTTTTTTTAATTCCCAGTACTCATTACAGTATCTGGCAAAACAATTATTTTATTTGTCAAATGAATTAGACTGAATGAAAGGCATTTTGGAATTGAAGACTGTGTGGAATCCGCCAACAGCACATAAACAAGGCTTGTCTCCATCCCCATGGCATCACACCACTGGCATGGGGCTTTGAATGGCAAGGTCATGCTGTTCCCTCCTGACTGGCACATGAATCCGTATAGAACAACGCTGGGTTAATTTCTTGCCAGAGTTAAGAAGAGCCAATGACACACTCTTGGACCTGTGGACTAAGTGAACCTCCTTTCTTTACAATTTATATAACCTTGGGCATTCTCTTACAGCAGTGGAAAACAGATCAACACAGCTGCCTTCTAGTTTGTGTGTTCTCAGTCAAGCTAGTCATCCTCCTACTCAGCAGTCTGTTCTCCTCTCCATCACCGCCTATTATGGTTTGGCCATGAGGTATCCTCTAAAGCGGCTCAACAACAGAAGACTTGTAAGTAACATTCACCCATGGGCCTTTGGGGAAGTGAATGGACCATGAGGCACTCTTCCTTCATTGGTATTTTGTTGATGGATTCAGATTTTGAAAGGGGTATCGGGAGCTGATAAAACTGTGGAAGATGTGACCCAGCTGGAGAAGTGGATCACTGGAGGCCACTCCCTTCTTGTCTGTCACACTCTCTGGTTCTTATACACCATGAAATACATGACTTCACTCCAAAGCATCCTCTATGCCCTGATGGTCAGCTTCATAGAGACCCTCAGCAATGGAACCTGCTGACCATGGACTGAGACCCTGAGTCAAAATTGGTTTTCCTCTTTTTAATTTTTTCAGGTATTTGTAATAATGACCATTTAAATATCCATCTCTCTCACTTTGTTCAATGCAGTAGCCTTTTAACTAGTGTCCAGATTCTGCCCTTGTCCCCCTAAAACTTATTGTCAAGACAGTGACAAATGGTTTCTTGTAAAATCTCGATTTTGCCATGTCACTCAACCACTGTGAGCCCCTCTAGATCACAGCAAACCCTGGCTGATTCGCCTGGAGAGATGGCTCGGTAGTTCAGATGGGTTTTGTACAAGAGTGAGAACCAGAGTTTGCCTCCCCGGAACCCACACGACTGCCCAGCAAGCTTAGCAGTCCAGCCCTGGAACGAGAAGACCGGGATCCCCAGAGCAAGCTGGCTAGCAAAACTAGCCGTGTTGGCAAGCTATGGGTTTGACAGAGAGATCCTGCTTTAGTGAAAGTGTAGGAATGCCACTTAAACCTGTGCAGCTTTGGGACTGACCTGATTGGGGTGATGGGAAATGAAGAAATGACAGATATACTTAGAGAAAGGCTGTAATGGGTGGGCTGTGGGTTCTGATGGAGACGCACCAGCAGCCCAGACACTCAGCGGGTTTATTATATATGACTGGGGGAGGAAGCAGGTCTTTGTTGATCTTGGTAGGGATCTTTGTAGGGGAGCAGTCTCGGGCTGTTGTCATCCAGGAGGAGGAAACTGTGGTTGACACTTTCTGCACACATTGTCAATATGCTCATATAAAAAAATGCACATTGACTCAGGACTTCATCTGCTCCCCATAGAAGAGAGAGAAAGGATGATTCCCAACACCAACCCCAGACCTCATGCACATGCACCCACAGATATGTGCAACCCCCTCCCCCTACACACACACACACACACCATACACATGTAGGCAGAAGTTTCTGTCCTGCAAGCCACTCTCAAGTAACCACACAGAGGCTTAATATTGATTATAAATACTCAGCCAATAGCTCAGGCTTGTTACTAGCAAACTCTTACATTTTAAATTAACTCTATGTTTTATCTATGTTTTGTCATGTGGTTTGGTACCTTTTCTCATTATGGCATGCCTATCTTGCTTCTCTCTGTGTCTGTTCGTGATTTCAGACTCTGCCCTTCCTCTTCCCAGCATCCTCTTAGTCTGGCTCTCCTGCCCAATCTCTTCCTGCCCAGCTATAGACCAGTCAGTTCTTTATTAACCAATGAGAGTAATACATATTCACAGTGTACAGAAGGATTATGCCACAGCATACACATCATACACGAACACAAAAATATGGGAGTTAGCATCCTTATAGTGGGTCCTGCAAGGGTCTATGGCCCTATCACCCACTAATTTTATTTCCTATTGGTCTTCTGAGATCTTTCTGGCCCAACTACCCTGATCTCTTCATGATGTGGCATCTACTCTGAGCATGGTATGGGTCAATAAGTACAAAAATAGCACTCAGTCCACTCAAGCTGTCATAACAAAACACCTCATGTTAGGTTATTTATAAACAACAGGACTTCCTGCTCACAATTCCAGAGGCTGAGAAGTCTAAGATCAAGGAGTTTGTGAGTTTAGACTCTGTTGAGGTCTCATTCTGCTTTGTAGATGTTTCTATTTTGTTATGTTTGGGGATTGCTTTGTTTTGATTTTTGATTTTTTGGACCAGGGTCTCAGGTAGGCCAGGCTGGCCTCAAACCTAATACACAAACAAGGGTGACCTTGAACTTCTGATCTTCCTTCCTCCACTTCCATAAAGCTGGGATCACAGGCATGCCATCACTGCAGCAGGTTTATGCAGTGCTGAGGATCGAGTCCATGATTTTCGGCATGTGGGACAAACATTCTACACCAAGAGAGCTATGTCCCCAGCCCTCTGCTTTGGGGATGGTGCCTTCTTGCTACACTTTGGTTTTTCTTTTCACAGATTAAAGAGGTAGAGTCTTAAGATCTGCCCTCATGGCTTCTTTGTCTCCTAATGTTCCATCTCTCAAAGTGAATACATTGAGAATGTTTTCAACACATGAGCTTTTAGGGACACTGAATCCACACCGTAGCACCAACCACAGAGCTCACTGTATTTTCTAGACTGGTTTGCATAAACATTTTACGGTGACGATATCCCCATCTTGCACAACAGACATTATTGGCATCTGTGCCCATAAATGCGTGTATACTGTATTAGTCAAGAGGGTTTCTCTTGAGGGACAGAACATCTACATGTGGGGTGGGAGAGCTTATTGGACCAGCTTACAGGCTGTGGTCAGCTAGTCCAACAATGGATGCTTACCAACAGAAGGTCCAGAATCCAGTAGTTGTTCAGTCCACGAGGCTGGGTATCTCAACTGGTCTCCAGTATATATCAGAATCCTCAAGAAGTAGGCTCTAATGCCGGTGAAGGAATGGACTTGCCAGTAAGAGCGAGAGCAAGCAGACAAAGAGCGAAAGCTTCCTTCTTCCATGTTCTTTATGTAGGCTGCCACCAGAAGGTGTGGCCCATATTAAAGGTGGATCTTCACACCTCAGAAGATCCAGATTAAAAGTGGATCTTCCCCTTTCAAATGATTTAATTTTTTTAAAAAAAATCCCTCACAGGTATACTCAGCTACTTGGGTTTTAGTTAATTCCAGATGTAGTCAAGCTGACAACCAAGAATGGCCATCATGTATGCTTACACATAAATATTAAGGAGTCATTTGACTAATGATTGTATTTAGCATATTTTAAGGTTTATACATATGAGAGTCTTTGGATTCCAGTTATTGCAGTATTTAGACTGTATTGCATGCTCCATTTTACTTAGATGTAGAGAGTCAGAAATGAGAATTATGGACATTTTTATCTAAGTATTTTTATTCAGTTTCAGAAACTGCATTTTGGGGTTTTTTTTAATGAACTAGAAATTATATAATCATACTTTGTATTCCTTAATATAGCTGCAATTTCATTTTTAAAATCTTTGAAGTAAGGGTGGCTTACAATTCTGAAAATGTGAATTAGGTATAGTTCTTCAGGGAACTTCATAAGACAGAAAATAATCAAGAAATCTAACTCATCTACTGATTTCCCAAAAGATATACTCCCAAATCTGATTCTTTTTTAAGGGGGAAAAATGGATACTTTCAGGTTCTCCCTCCTGACGAATGCTCAGAATTAAAAAAAGAGAAATCAGTGTGGGTTTCTTTGGCATGGCCGTTGTCTTCCCTATCTCACTGGAGGAGAGACGAGAGACAGCTAACATTCCTTCACTGTTTGGAATGTGTCAGCACTCACGAACTGGGGCCTCACAGGACGTTTTCTCCTAGAACCATGTACTTTGAGGAGGTGAGTATTATTGGCTTCATTTTAGAAATGGGAAAATGGGAAGACAGGAAAGCAAAGAAAAGCTGAGTTATTTTTAGAATTCTGAGAAACGGAGACTGCATCTGTGGAATTTTGTACTGCTTGTTCTTACCTTCTTCATTAATGGTTTGTCTGGCTGTTTGTTCATTTTGAGAGAAGGTATCATGGAGCCCAGGATGGCCTCAGATTCACCAAAGGATGAGCAGTACCTGGGCCAGCTGCTACTGTTTCCCTATATCCATGCCTCAGGAAAACTCACCACTCTGCCTACCTTTTGGCATGGTTTTAGTCCCCTGTTCACATTCTCAGTACCTGGTACAACATCACACATAGGGTAGATGCTAAGTGATTCCTGGACAGGTGGATGGACACATGGACAAATGAATACATAGTGTTTAAAATTAAAGCAAGTTTGTCTGTGTGTGACAGAGACAGAGAGACAGAGAGAGATAGAGAGAGAGATTTTTTGCACGTATAGGTGTGCTTTACTGGGTACACTCAGCTCTGTGTGTGTGTGTCTGTTTGTCTGTTCGTCCAGGAATTGACATGGGGTATGTTTCTGTGTGTGTGTGTGTGTGTGTGTGTGTGTGTGTCTGTCTGTCTGTCTGTCTGTATGTATGTATGTATGTCTAGGGATCAACTTTGGGTATGTTTCTGAGTGTGTGTGTGTGTCTCTCTGTCTGTCTGTCTGTCTATCTTGTCTGCCTGTCCAGGGATTGACTTTGGATATGCTTCTGAGTGTGTGTGTGTGTGTGTGTGTGTGTGTGTGTGTGTGTGTGTGTGTGTATCTGTCTGTCTGTCTGTCCAGGGATCGACTTTGGATATGTTTCTGAGTGTGTGTGTGTGTGCGCGTGTATGTGCATGTGGATGTGTGTCTATCTGTCTGTTTGCCTGTCCAGGGATCTACTTTGGGTATGTTCCTCTATTGCCTCTGGTCTTTCTTAGGGTGTCTACTGTGATAAACAGGATGACCAAAGGCAACTTTGTGAAGAGTTTATCATCTTACAGCTTACACATCATATAGCAAAGTCAGGGCAGGAACTCAAGTTGGGAGCCCAGAAGCAGGAAGTTTACTGGCTCACACCTCATGTTTTGCTCCATTTGCTTTCTTATACAGCCCACAACTACCTGCCCAGGAGTGGCACCATCCAGAATGGGCTGGGCCCTCACACACCAACCACTGACTAAGGAAATACCCCACAGACTTTCCTACAGGGCAGTCATATGGAGGCATTTTCTCAGTTAAGATTCCCTCTTTCCAGATATGTCTAGGTTTGTGCCACATTAAAACAAAACAACAAAAACAAAAACCAACCACTCCCCTGTTGGAGCCCACTGGGTTTCCTAGTGGCTGTACCCAGCAGGACTGCATAAGAGGTTGATTGGACCTCGGGCCTGGGTACCAGGTGTCTGAGATGGTCTACACTTGACTGTAAGTAGCAAGGGGGAGATCTTTTGCTCCACCCCTTGGCATTGTTATAAATAGCCCTTTGGACTAAAGTTCTGGGCTGGTGGGTAAGGACCCAGACTCACCCGAGGGTATCCTGTGTTTCTACCTGGTTCTCTCCCCTCTTTATTTCTGCCTAAGTCTCTTATCCCTCATTCCTCAAGAGTCCCTGGGGTAAATAAATGTGGGGGCTGGCCCCCCACACTCCCCATCTTATTTATTTTATTTTTTGAAATAGGGTCTCTCAGTGAGCCTGGAGCTCACTGTTTGGCTAAACTGTCCGCCTGTTAGACTCCAGGGATCTGTCTGACTTGGCTCCCAAGGCATGCACAAATGCCCAGCTTCTTACAAGTACTGGGAGTCTGACCTCAGCTCTTCATGTTCATGCAGCGAGGCCTCTTCCCAGTATTAAAATTAAATTTTCTTTCACATAAGATTACTACTCATCCGACAGGTTTTCTGATTTCTTTTTATGACCTGTCTGACTAATTGTAGTTTTAACCATGTATTCTGAATTTTGTCACGTAGTAGTATATCTTCAGAGAATACATAAAACTTATAGTAAAAGTTTCTTAAAGTTTTTATAAATTCTGTACAGAAAATAAAGCCATGAAATAATTTCTCTTCCCCTTGCTTTCTTTGCTACTGACTTGCTCCAGAAAACACACCCAGAAGATCAGCAATTAGAAATTAAGAGGCAACATTTGATCCAGAGGTTCCAGAGAAATTAACCACATTTTCACACGGGCATTAGACAGGTTTTCTGATTAAAAAGTAATCTATTCCACAAATAGTTTTTGAAAGATAAACTCAGTGGAGATTTAGTGATGTGAGACTTCAAGATGGATGTTAACACACACACACAAAATAATTTAGTTCAATAATTTCTAACTAGCTAGTCTCAGAACATTAGCTGGAGTTGAGAGCTGGGACAGCTTTCAATATGTCAGAGCCGGAACATCCCTTTAGGAGAGCGGAACAGCATCATGGGAGGGACCGCGGGAGATGCAGACAGCCTCGAAGGGAGTTCTAGACTTGAAGCCACCAAGAAACAAGAAACTCTTGGCTTCTCTCACAGGCAACGTGACTGATAGAAAGAGTTCAGTCAAAGTGGGGGACCGAAAGCTCAGGCTTGCTCTTGTGTGCCACACCGGGGTCCAAGAGGGAGGGCAGCTCTTCGTGCCTTGTGATCGCATCCGGATGGCTTCCTGTCAGGCGCTCAAAACCGCAAGCCAAATTCCTAGGGAGAGAAAAGCTGCCGCGGAGAGGAAGTTAGCTAAAGAAAGAGCTGTGGTCACGGGAGCCCTGGGAGGAACTGAGGATGGAGAGGTGCGCCTGGGGTGGAGAGAGCCTTCACTTTCGAGCAGATAACTCCGCCAACTCTCTCCGGAGAGTGGAAGGGGTACAGCTGCTCCTGTGGGGACCACGGTAGGTAAGAGAAGAGAGTGGGATTCCGACAACCACCAAAGATGAGCCTTAACGCCTGAGAAGACGGGCATCCAGACTATCAGCCAAGAGGCAGCGCTGAGAAGAAAACCACAAACTTTGCAGTCTGTGGTCATCAGCATCCAGAGGCACTCTGTCCTTCTCTGCCACGTGACTACCCATCCCTCGCCAAAGCTGCTGCTCTCACCCGCTCTAGGGAACAACACTTGCAGTTGCTTTCTGGAAACTTCATTTCACTGAACATGCAAATGAAGCCTGGTGTGGTGGTGCTCCTGGAAGAGGCATCAGCGAGAGCTTCCCTGGAGCCTGGCACTCCAAAGTCAGCCTGGGCAACATACAGAGACCCTGTCTAGATAAATAGAGAGACAATAGTTTAGTTTTTTGAAACACACACACACACACACACACACCACACACGAGACAGTATTGAATATTTCTTGGTGTTTGTCAAGGTAGAGGCAATTATAAAGTTATTTGACTTGAATATTAAATCTCATTCCTATCTAATGAATTGCAGATGTTTTACAACAAAATCGACAGGCAGCAATTAGATCCATGGCTCCGCAGCATGCTATCAGTTTCATTAATTGAGAACTATCAGACTGACAGGCTGGAGTACTACTCCAACAAGCCAGGATGTTTTTTGAGGAACAATACAAAACCTACATACAGCCAAGTGATTAAACCAATAATAATTTCAACGACATTTTAGGACTTGCAGTAATATGGAAAACTGTAATACTGAAGGGGGAAAGATCGGGACAAGAGGAGTGACAGTCACTGCTGAAAGACATTCTCACGCAGAGGTGGGGTGTGTGTGTGTGTGTGTGTGTGTGTGTGTGTGTGTGTGTGTGTGTATGCTCAAGCACAATCGAGCACATGAGTTTTCTTTACAGGTGATCTATATAGCATAAAGAGCAGAAATAAAGGTTGATTAAAAAAAACCTAAATTAGGGATTGGAGAGATGGTTTAGCAGTTACATACACTTGTTGCTCTTCCAGAGGATCCAAGTTCAGTTACCAATACCCACATTGGGCAGTTCACAAACACCTATAACTCCAGCTCCAGATCTGATGCCTCTGGCCCCCAAGAAAACACACACACACACACACACACACACACACACATACACACATACACACACACACACACACACACACACACACCAAAGTAATAATTTTTTTTTACTTTTTTCTTTTTCGAGACAGGGTTTCTCTGTGTAGCTTTGCGCCTTTCCTGGAACTCACTCTGTAGTCCAGGCTGGCCTTGAACTCACATTTTTTTTTTTTTTTTTTTTGGTTTTTTCGAGACAGGGTTTCTCTGTGTAGCTTTGCGCCTTTCCTGGAACTCACTTGGTAGCCCAGGCTGGCCTCGAACTCACAGAGATCCGCCTGGCTCTGCCTCCCAAGTGCTGGGATTAAAGGCGTGCGCCACCGCCGCCCGGCTTGAACTCACATTTTTTAAGTTAGAAAAAAAGGCAAGTAAGACAAAGGATTGTTTTTCCCTCTTTGATTTCCATTTACTTACATAAATTTACCCTATTTAGACTTATCCGAGACCAACCAGGGCTACAGAGTAAGAGCTTGTCTTAAAGGAAACAGAAACATACAAACAACAACAAAAACAAACAAACAGAATGGTGTGCTTGGCAGTTACTTTTTTTTGCTAAGCAAAACTTAACAAAAAACATCATGCTTGATGATAAGTGTAGAAATAAACATTACTATTTTCCTGGCATTATTCTTTGAAATTTATGTCTTTCTTTGATTCAATGGGTTCAAAACACTTCAGAATGGCAATCCCTGTCATACCTTTCAGGAATGTCTTTACTTGAGGTGTGAGCTGGCCAAGCCAGAAAGGTCAAGCATGATGCAGTTTAGCTGGCTTGGTAGGACTGTGTCACGTGATATCGAATGACACAGGGACCGAGTCAGGCAATCAATCAGCTGCTAAATCAGGCCTACAGAATGAAACTCCAGTGTAAAACTCAAGTGATATCCCTGGGTAGTGATACCCCAAGGGTATGGTCCCATACCAGAGCAGCAGGTCAGTGGGTCAGTCTTTCCACGGGAGAAGATCCTGAAGGCTTCATCGTTAGAATCCTTCCAGACCGCCCTGTTTGTCCTCTCTTTTGCCTGAGAGACCCATGGCATGTCCCTGTTATAAATAGAACATACTAGCTGTCAGGAAATTCAATAAAATGTAGCAAGCCGGGCGGCGATGACACATGCCTTTAATCCCAGCACTCGGGAGGCAGAGCCAGGCGGATCTCTGTGAGTTTGAGGCCAGCCTGGTCTACAGAGCGAGATCCAGAACAGGCACTGAAACTACACAGAGAAACCCTGTCTCAATAAATAAATAAATAAATAAATAAATAAATAAATAAATAAATAAATAAATAAATGTAGCAAATTATCAAACCTCATTTCTTGGGAATCACCCCTAACTTGCAGGTAGTGTCAGAAGTGAGACCAGTCATGAGCAAACAGTGTGGCCAAATCTGGTCCGTCAGTCATAGTTTGCCAACCTCTACACTTGCTCATTAAAGCATCTGTGTGTGGAACAATCATGCTTGTGTTCATAGCCACCACAGTCCACGAATCAAAAGGGATCTCTATACATATACAGATGTGTAAGTATAACAGGGTAAATGAACATTCAATGACAAAGCTGATGTTAGAGACACACACATGTGTGTGGATATGTGGATATGTAGATATGCACACATAGGAAATTAGTATGTGCACACTCCTAGGCTGCCCATTTCCATTTATATTTCTAATGCCTTTGAAGAGCTCTAACATTCTGCCAATCAACTCAAGTTTCCCACAGTGCTATTGTAGAAAGCAAATCGCCCCATCGGCACATGATTAGGACTATTCAATAGCATAATAAGAATCCCGGCATACTAAAACCTTTTTAAAAGCTCTTAGAAAATACTGCAGAATTTTCCTAGGAAACAGAAGGAATCTGTACCTTTGGCCCATAGACAAAGAAACTCCAAATATTTGTTTTAATGTATAAATATTTGGCTACATGTCTTAATGAGTAGCATGTCCTTCCAATCTTGTCAATGAGACCTGAATAATAGAAAACTGTTAGGAGCGCTACCCTAACCACCCCCCAGAGGCTCCAACTTTAAGCCCCAAAACTGCGCTGAATTTCCACCCTCTTCTGAGACAGCTTGAGTTTAGACGTGACCTGACTGGGGTGATGAAGGAATGAAGGACGGACGGACACACAAACACATGGACAGAAAAGCTGGGATCAGGGGAGGCATTGCTCTATGGAGACACAGCAGCACAGTCCAGAATCTCACTCCATTTATTTGATGCCTCTTGATACAGCTCATCTCAATAGGAGTTAAGTCTCAGGCTGTCAACATCTTGGGAGGAGGAAGGTGTGGTTGATAGTTTCTGCATACACTGGCTTTAGCAAAAGGTCAACCATTCGTAACCTCTGTACTTGGACCAATAATACATTTACTTAGGACTTCATCCACTCCCCACATACTGCCTCACGGGCATATATTTCAATATAGTTAGCCCTGGGGAACACACTCAGGATGTAGTTAAGCCAATAGTCAATCCCAATATATATATTTATATATATATATATAACCCAAATCTACCCATGTATCCCACCCCTTCACCAGTTTTGTCTTCTGGACTATTATGAGGTAATTGTTTTACATCAGCAGTAATGCCTATATTTCAGCTATTGACGGGCATACAGAAAGATGCTCTCCACGCAGCCACGGTGTCCACTCACCTTTGTGACAACTCCCAGTAGCCTGACCCCAGGAGAAGAGGTGGGACAGGAAACCACACCTACTCTGTTCCAGCTGTGAGCACAAGCACATTCCATCCCTTGTTCCCCACAACATAGATAACATTTGCTTCACTGAGTACTTGAAAATATTTTTTCTTCTTCAATTCTCATATATGTAAGGGTGTGTGTGTGTGTGTGTGTGTGTGTGTGTGTGTGTGTGTGTGTGTGTTACACATGTGAACGTATGCATGTTTTCATGTTGGAGGTGGCGGGGCATGTGTAGGTCTGAGGTTTGTGTCAGGCAGGAATCATCCTCAATCACTCTTCTACTTATCCAGTATGGCAGAGTTTCAATCAAACTCCAAGGTCATCATCTCCAGTGACGCTCACTAGCCAGCTTGTCCTGTGGGTCCCCTGCCCTGACTTGTGCGGCTGGAAACATAACCAGTCCTCACGCTTGTAAAGCATGTGATTGAACCATTGAGCCATAGCCTCAGTCTCCTGCATGAAAAATATTAAAGGGGCACTGGAACATATAAAAAGAAGAACTATAAAGTGGGAATGGACACGTTTGCTCTGGAGCCAATCAGCTCTTGCCTTGCACAGAGAATTTCCTAGAACTCATTCTCCTCTCTAGACTTTACGATGCCACAGATGGCCAAGGTCATCTGATCTTCCACAGCCCTGTACAGAGTGGAAGAGAAACTGAGGATAGAGTCCTCTGTCCCCCAGCCCAAGCCTTCCCTGTTTCTTTCTCTGGGAATTAATAAAAGTTCTACCGTACCTTTCAGAAAAGATTTCTCCACCTTTGTCCCCAGGAACCCCACTGCAGGATTTAACCACCCAGCTCATAGGAGGCTGCAGCAATCCAGGGCACTTTGACTTGAGACTTTCTTCCTTCAGTGTGCATCGGGAGGAAATTGGATCTACGTATTTCCTGTGGCATGGTCCAGTCTCGTGATTTCCTGTGGGGAAATAACTGAATAAAAAGGCATCTCTCAGAAACAATTCTTTCTGAGTCAGCAGGATGGTTCCCCGTTTTGCTCTGTAGCAACCTCATTCCAGAAAGGACAATGCAATGTAGACTGCTAAACAAAATCTGATAACTCAACCGAAACCCAGTGTTTGTACAAGGGCCAAGTGTTGTTAATAACATGACAAAGTCTGATAACTCAACCAGAAACCCCGTGTTCATGCAATGGCCAAGTATTGTTAATCACATGACTTTCAAAGTTTACAAAGGGCAGAAGAGATGGCCCAGCAGTTAAAAGCATTTGCTCCACTTGGAGGAGACCTGTTCCCAGCACCCACATGGTAGCTCGCCACTATCCTGGACTCTAGTTCTAGGGAATCTGGCCTCCATGGGCACTAAAGTACCTACATGGTACACAGACCTACATGCAGGCAAAACACTCACACACATAAAATAAAAATAAACAAATCTTAAAAATAAGTAAATAAAAGTTGTCAAAAGAAACCAAACCTAGAACAAACCTGCATGACTCTAGGCTGAAGGACAAATTCCAGGTCCCACAAATGTACACACTACTCACCGCCATTCCTAGTGGTTTTAGACTTCAGCGGTTCCCCCCCTCACCCCCCAGACACCCCTCCCCCCGCCCCCAAGGCACAGATTAACATGGTGTGTGGTAGAGCTGTTGAGTCTTAGCTGAGAGGATTCTCTGCTGGTTTAGATGCCCAGAAAGTCAGTTAATTCTTCAGGGTCCAAACTCCAGAAACCCTGTGAAAACCTGGTCTTGTTTCCTATTCAAATACCACATGCCTGTCTCTCTCCTGGGCAATATTGTATTTTTATTTATTCTACAGTAGAAATATACTTCCACCCTCGAGTTGTCTGAAAACACAAACACATCAATATTGTAGGAGTTATGCAAACAACAAAAAAAGATGAATGAAGCCAAAATACCACAAAGTAGAGATTATTGAGTATTATTATTATTATTGTTATCTTATGAAAACAATTACAGCAGCATGGAGTGAGGCCTGAGATATGGTCTATTTTATCTATGGAAGAGTTACTTTAACCACAGTATATGTAGTTAATAACATTTATGGAAAACCATGATCAAGACCAAAACAAGACAGAAATTTAAAACATATTTTAGGGTTTATAAATTATCTCTTTTCTAATGCATTAGTGTCTATAGCTTTTATTAATCTTAAGATTATTTTCACGATTGTTTTCAGAGATTTTTTTTAAAAATATTTTATTAATTCTTTGAGAATTGCATACAAAGTATTTTAAAAATATTCACCTCCCCTCTCCAAACCCATCCCACCACCACTCTCTCCATCCTTCCACACCTTTGAGTTTTCTTTCTTTCTTTCTTTCTTTTTTTTTTTTGTCTTCCATCAAGTCCAACTAGTCTTGTCAACTTACCAGGGTCATATCATTAAAGAAAATTAACTTGTCCTCTCTCATCAGCTAGCAAATGCCAACAGATCCTCAGCAAGGGTAAGGTTTCATAACCACCTGCCCCCTGTGGTGGTTTGTGTGTGAATGGCCACTATAGGTTCAAACATTTAATGTTTGGTCCCAGTTGGTGGGACTATTTGGGAAGGATTTGAAGGTAAGGCCTTGTTGGAGGAGATGTGTTGTTGGTCTTCTTTTTAAACTCTTTGCTCTTTGGGGGCCTGCCACCCAGCCCCCAAATAAATACATGGAGACTTGTTCTTACTTATGAATATCTGGCCTTAGCTTGGCTTGTTTCTAGCCAGCTTTTCTTAAATCATCCCATCTACCTTTTGCTTCTCGGCTTTTATCTTTCTCTATTTCTGTATTTCTTTCCTTCTTACTCTGTGTCTGGCTATGTGGCTGGGTGGCTGGCCCCTGGCATCCTCCTCTCCTCCTCTTCTCCTTCCTCCTCCTCTTTTCCTCCTTCTATTTATTCTCTCTGCCTGGCAGCCTAGCCTGTCCCTCTTCTCCCTTGCTATTGACCATTCAGCTCTTTAATATACCAATCAGGTGTTTTAGGCAGGCAAAGCAACACATCTCCACAGAGATAAACAAATGCAATATAAACAAATGCAACACATCTTTGCATCATTAAACAAGTGTTCCACAGCATGAAAGAATGTAACACATCTTCAACTACTATTCCACAACAGAGATGTGTCCCTGGGGGCAGGCTTTGAGGCTTCAAAAGCCCACACTACTCCTTGTGCTTATAGATCAAGATGTGAGCTCTCAGCTACTGCTCTAGCACCATGCCTGCCTGCCTGCCGCCATGCTCCCCACCACAAAGGTCACAGACTCTAACCCTCCGAAACTGTAGGCTGCAAATAAACTCTTCCTTCTATAAGTTGCCTTGGCCATAATGTCTTATCACAGCAATAGAAAATAACTAATATATCTCTCATACTGGAATGTCATCTGGCTTGAGCTTGTCCAGGTCCTGGGTGTGCTGTCAGTCACTGGGAGCACATACGTGCAACTGCCCTGTTGTGCTGGGAAACATTGTTTCCTTGATGTTATCCACTCTGGGGCTCTTACAATCTTTCTACTCCCTCTTCTTTGAAGCACCCTGAACCTTTGGGGAGAAGGATGATGTGTATGTCCATTCAGGGTTGAGCACCCCACAGTCTCTGATTCAGAGATTCTTAAGATGGATGCTACTTTCAAATTTTGTTTTGATGAGGGATTGGGAAGACATCTCAGTGAGGGAGAGTTCTTGCTGTGAAAGCAAGAGGATCTGAGTTTGAATCACTAACAACTACGTAAAAACCAAGTATGGCCACATGTGCCTGCAGCCTCTGAACTGGAGCATAGAGAAAGGTGGAGAAATTAGAGGGAGGGAAAAAAGAAAAGCCTTTGATTTCTCATTGATTCTGCCTGTATCTCACTGTAGTTTCTCTTTCGTAAAAGATGTATTTCTATATATAAAAATGCAATCAGAATTAAAAAAACTACAAAAGCAAATCATTAAACCCTCTATAGCTCCTTATCAGGTGGCTCCATCAATGATGTTAACTTATAGGAGACACACATTCAGACTTTTTATTTTCTTTCTTTTTTTAAAAATTTTTTTAGATTTATTTTGATTATTGTGTATGAGTGTTTTACGTGCATGTACATCTGTGCATCAAATGTGTGCCTGGTGTATGAGGAGGCAGAGAGTCTCCATGTGGGTGCTGGAAACTGAACTTTGGCCCTTTGCAAGAACATGAGCTCTTAACCACTGAGCCAACTTTCCAACCCAGAATTTTTGTTTTCTTAAGGAGTTGTGAAGATCTACTGTCCAAACCTCCACCCGGAAAAGACTTAGTGCTTGGCACTGGGTAATCAATCTTGAGTCTTTTTTTGTTGTTTTGTTTGCTTGTTTATTTCCTGAGGTAGTTTTACCCAAAGGCTCCCTCTCCCCTAGGGTTCTGGACATTTGGTGGCAGTATTTAACAGAGGTGTGAATTTGATCCATTTTGGATATTATTCTCCCAGAATTCTGTGCCAGATCAGATAAAGCCTCTTGGACCTTCCTCTGCCCAGCCAGCTCCCTTCTCTTACCTTTCACAAGCATTCATCCCTAGTAAACCATCTTGCCCCAGAGCTCTGCCTCTACTTTAGCTTCCAGAGAATGTGACCTGTCATACCGACATTTTCTTTTGCCTTCATACATGAGAGTTAACACTGAGGCCAAGCCTCCTCTGTCCACAAAGAAAATTCACAAATACTTATATTTTCTAGAAAAACGAGAATGCCAATTTACATATTCATTTCCAGGACAACACAGTATTAAATATGACAACCAGTTTACACCCTGTCAAGGATTAATGGTTGCTTTCTAGGTCACAGCAATGATCTCTGTGGCTTCATAAGTCTATTAAGAGTTAAGGCCAACAGAAAGGAAAGCAACCTGCTACCCTCAACCTCCTGGTCTTTATTTATTTCTAAGTAACAGTTTACTGGAACATGGCTACCCTCACTTGTTTACCTGTTATCTGTAGCACGAATCCTAAATGGTCTTTTAATAAAAAACCCAGAGACAGATATTGAAGTAAATGCTGAAAGATCAGAGAGACAAAGGAGTAAGCCACTAGAGAAACTTCTCACCACTCCCAAATCCTCAGGCCGAATGGAAGGTGAGATACTATCTCCACTAATCCTCTGACTGAAAGTCCTCAGTCAAAAGGTCTCTAGTTCCTGTCTCTTCACACCTTATATACCTTTCTCCACCCAGCCTTCACTTCCTTCCTAGTGCTGGGATTAAAGGCATGTCTGCTTCCCAAATACTGGTAGCAAACGCATGAGATCTCAAATGCTGGGATTAAAAGTGTGTGACTCCCATGTACTGGGATTAAAGGTGTGTGCTACCACTGCCTGGCTCAGTTCTCTCCTAGACTGGATCAATCTCATGTGGTCCAGGTTAGCTTTGAACTCACAGAGATCCAGACGGATCTTTGCCTCCTGAGTGCTAGGATTAAAGGTATGTGCCACCACTGCCTGACCTCTATGTCTAATCTAGTGGCTGGTTCTGTCCTCTGATCCTCAGGCAAGCTTTATTTGATACACAATGTATCACCACAGTTGTCCATATCTGCTTCCACCCTACTACAGCAGAACTGAGCAGTTACAACAACACAGTCTGCAAACTTGAAACATCCTTGCAATAACTCACCCAAGGGTGATTTTAGGGTGCAGATACTATTCTGCTTTTCTAGTCAACTGTAGGGAGAGGAACTGTCTTAGAACTGAGGAGCTGTCTTCAAGTTAGATCATATCTTAGTTAGACCATGAAGAACTGTCTTCATGCTGTGAAGAGACACCATGACGACAGCAACTCTTACAAAAGAAAACATTTAATGAGGTGGCTTACAGTTTCAGAGATTTAGTCCATTATTATCATGGTGCAACATGGCGGCGTGCAGGCAGA